GCATATTTGAACCATTTCACTGCATTACTTGATTTTGAAAAACAACAAGTCCCTGAGGATTCGACCTTAGATTACTTCCGAGTATTACTTGTGACCGTGTGCGCTTGCACGAGTCTCTAATCTTTTTAAAGGTAGAGAAAATCCCAACACTGACCCTTGATCTATTTGATCTATTTGTCGAGCCGTATAGGTCTTCAAGGGCTTTCCGTACCTCTCTTGAAGACTTTATATTAATAACTTCACAAGCCACCACTGGAGTGATGGATCCATACAACCATCCAAGAAGGGCTTGGTCTATTGTTACCCACTCTTTGAATTCTTTGTTGATTTATAAAGCAACATTGCTATTTGGTCTAGTCATTGCCACAAACTCAGGAGGACATGCGTTGGTCCCAAGCATATAGCCATCTAGATGCTGGCCCTCTAAGTACAGCCATGACCATAGATTTCCACAAGAGAAAATTATTTTCGTCAAGTTTTACTGAGGGCGTTGAGTTTAGAGGGTTAGAAACAGGTGTTATTTGGGCATTAATAACAGTAGGTACAGGAGCCACTATTGGAGTAGTGGTCATTGTAGCTACAGTAGGCACACTAATTGGTACATTCCCAGAATTGGAAGTATGCATTGTGCCTGTAGTACCAATAGAACCCTTAGTAGTCATTGAAAAAAAAATTGGTTTGATGGCGTTTGCCTATGAAGCTCTGATACCAAGAATGAAATAAGAAAATAACACTAAGAAGATATTTAAGAATATTGTCATTTGCTACTTGTAATTGAGCAAGATTTTGGTATTTATAGGATACTGTAAATTTCCATTAGTAAAGGAAACAATAAACACAATTAATGGTCAAAGCGAGCCTAACTTAGCGGTAATTGGCATGTACCTCTAACCAAGTTGTGCGTTCGAATCTCCACCCAACATGTTGTACTAAAAAAAATAAAAGTAATTAATGAAAAAATATACCAAACAGGAAACAAGTGGTATTCGGGGTGGGTTCGAAAAGGGGGCTGTCCTTGCAGAGGGTAAGGTGGTGCATGACAAGTTGCTTCGAGATGGGAATGAAATCGAACTCGTGGGTTGGCGATTGTGGGAAATGGGTGTTGGATTTCTTTGGAAATTAAAGCGAATTCGAGGGTGTCGAAGGCTATATATATAGCCACAACTTTCTGAAGAAAATTAAAATTAGGATTTTTATTGGGTTTATTGTCTTCTCTATACATATAGCCAAATCAACGTTCCTTTTTTTCTACCTCATAATTATTGTTGTTATTACTGTGGGACTTGGTGATGGTGCAAATGGATGTCTCGACTCTCGAGTGTGAAACAGAGGGGGCTGAGAGTGGGGGCGTCCATGGCTCTTAATTTCAATCTAATTATTATTATTCAGTTTGCTCTCCACTCTCCCTCTGTTCCACTGTTCCACTCTCCCTTTGTTCTTCATTTCTCCATCAAGATCTTTAAAAAAGAACGGAGATTCGGAAGAAATAAAATCGTTGCAAGTATAGAGGCATAACGATGGAGAGAGTCCCCCAGAAATTTAACTAACCAAAAAAACAGAATTTCCCAACAATTTTGGTGTAATTGTCCCGCACGTGTGCCAGAGTACACAGTGGCACTTGCCGTTTCGATTAAAAAGAAACAAAAAAAAAAAGGATAATTCCATTTGATTTCCGCACCTTCTTCCTCCTCCACTGGACTGTCAGCGCTTCAACATCAAGAACAATCCTCTCTCTCCCATGAGAAGCTGAACTCCTTCCTTGAATCCCTGCACAACCAAACCCTTCCATGGCGAAAACCCTAATTTCATCTTCACCCTTCGTTGGTTCGTCTCTCCCATCTCTGTCCCGCCATGGTCGTCTCCACGCTCTTCCTCACCGGAGACACGTCGCCACCAGAGTCAACTTCAGCTTCCATCAACTTCCCCCCATCCATACCTTTGATTCTGCCTTCGATTATGAAGCAATCGTAAGCAGAGCCGAAGGCCTGCTCTATACAATTGCTGACGCAGCGGTAGCAGTGGATTCGGCTGTTTCAGGTGGCGCGGCATCGACCTCCGCAGATACCGCCGTGCAGAAGAATGGTGGCTGGTTTGGATTCATCTCCGAGGCCATGGAAGTTGTTCTTAAAGTAAGCTTTCACATAAAATAAACTCGCCTGGTTTAACTGAAAATTTAGTTCATCATAGCGCTTGTTAATTACTCAGACGAGGAAAAAAAAGGATGTATTTCATATTTATTGATTCAGGGTCAACGCATATTTTCCTGAGTCGGATGATTAAAATCATTTCTTCTAAGCAATCATGAGAATGTCCGTATTTTAAAGATTCTTGGGGTGTGGATGATATCAAGAACCACAGAATTGAAATTCTCACATATGCTTATAGGAAACATGAATATGGTGTTATCTTTTTTGACGTGCCAATTAAACCGTGTCAGGTGTTGAAGGATGGACTTACAGCTGTGCACGTGCCATATTCATATGGATTTGCAATTATATTACTAACTGTTATCGTTAAAATTGCTACTTTTCCTCTCACCAAGCAACAGGTTAGTTAATTCTGCCATGACAGTTGAAAAATGAATCCCCTATGTAGCTGCAAATTCCTCATAATCTGATGATGTATAATTTGCTTATGATGAGTGCATTTACGCATTGGTATAAGGTTGCTACAGAGTTATGAATGCTCTTTGTGATGTGTAGGTCGAGTCAACATTGGCTATGCAAAATCTTCAACCAAAGATTAAAGCCATCCAACAAAGATATGCAGGCAATCAGGTGGGGCATTTCTGTCCTTTATGGAAGCTAAACAAACTTTGAGCTTTGATTGAGGGGATTTTCCTCTCTTGTTTCGATTATAAAGTATTTCCTTCCTTCTATCGTATTATTTTTCCTCTTTTTAAGGAAAGAATACAACTTGAGACATCACGGCTTTATAGTCAAGCTGGAGTTAATCCTTTGGCAGGTGAAAAGCACTCATTCCTTGTTTTCTCATAAATTGGTTTTCAATTTATGATCTTGCTTGATGTTTATGCATACTTCAAAGTCATTGTTGTTAAATCCCATTTCTGTAGGTTGTTTACCAACTTTGGCCACCATACCGGTCTGGATTGGACTATATCAAGCCCTTTCTAATGTGGCAAATGAGGTAATTAAACTATTGTTTTTTTGTGGTCATTGATTCTTATTTAAGACTTTTTAAGTCACCCGACTTATAACTAATTTGTTCCTTCTGATGTCCCTAATTCTTGAAGGGATTACTGACTGAAGGTTTCTTTTGGATTCCCTCACTTGGTGGACCAACTACTATTGCTGCTCGACAAAGTGGAGCTGGAATCTCTTGGTTGATCCCTTTTGTGGTAAATTAAATTTCACAATTTTATGATTTATGTTGTATGAATTTGCTCCCCTTTTTTAGATTTTATTCATAGCTTTATAAGTAAAGCTGATTTCCTTGATACCAGAACTGGATTTAGACGCTGATTGTTGAACATATAATATAACCTCCCATTCTGCTTTTGAAGATGTTTGCATGGGATTTGCTTTCATGCTGTTTTTAAATTGTGGATATAAAATTTTGGAAGCTTCATTTTTTTCCCACTCCTTTGCATATAGATCCCCATAAGTGACTGCATTGTCTAACGTCTTCTCAATAAGGTACAAAAATGCACTCTCTTCTTGATCGGTAACAATTGTTTTTCATTAGCCATTACGTAACAGTAGAAAAAGTGTTCAAGAGCCTACCAATCTCTCGAACAATCCAATCTAAGTTGGATTTGCTGTTACTCAATCGTTAGCTACCTCTGTGCCCCTGCAATACAATTTAATTCCCCCTGCAGTTTCTTATCCCTGCACACCTCACATTCTGCTGACAGAATATACCCTTTGCTCTAACCATAGTTGTACCTAGCTCTAACAACCTTGGCCCTTTCACCATGATGTCTCTAACCTGTAATATTTTGTAAGTGTGTATTATTGAGGGCTTATCACTCCTTCTTCATCATCATTATGATAATGCAATACAATGACGTTTCTCTTTGGAGAAGAATGTTGCTTTTTGCGTACAATTATTGCAAGCAAGAATGGCCTTCACCTTTTTGTGTGGCTCTCAGTTTGTGGGGCTAAAGGCACATTCAGGAACCCCATACAGCTATCACTTCATGTTTTCCTTTCTTTTCAAGTTTTTTGAAGTTTTTTGTTAGAGATGTCTGGAATACTTACTTTTGGTAGGAAGGGGATTGTTGGTTGGGTGATAATCACTTGTGTATTTCATTTCCTTATCTTCATCATCTTTCCTCTTTAAGATTGTGCTCTAGATGCTATTCTTTCTTCTTTGGACAATTCTACCTCGTTTAACTTTGGGATTTTCTATCCTCTTGGATAGGGAAACATTCTGATGTGTAAGCTTTACTTTCTTTTCGGGCTGATTTTCACTTTCGGCAAGGGACCAGGGACATTCGTTTTTGGATCCCAATCCTTCTCAGGTTCTTTTCATAGCTTAGGTATTTCCTCTGTCTTTTTTTTTTATGACCCCTTCCTTTTAGTCTCTCTTTAGGCTAGAATTTCCAAGAAGGTTAAAATTTTTACACATATTGCTGGAGCTATAGTAGTGCATTCTGGGTAAGAATGTGTTTTAGGATTTGGAGCATACCTTTTGAAGATGCCAATTTGTGCTTTCAATTTGGGAATGCTCTTTTGGAGTCATTTGGGATTGCTTTAGTCTTTAGAGGTGTTTGGTCGTTAGTCATATTAATGTCTCACAGTGGGCTTCTTGTCTGTATTATTGTGTCACTAATATAATACAATGTTTTATTTTTTTGAAATATCTATCATTATCAGAGTATTCATTAATATATCCATAATTGAATTATTGACACAGACATATACATCAATGATTTTCATGCTGGGTCCTTATTTCATTCTTTCTTCTCCCTTTAAGGCTCTCGAATGTTTGTAGAGTTTACCTTCAGCCGTATGACTTCTAAAGTTATGTATATTTTACTTTATCTTAAAAGCTTCAGCCACGAGAGAGAAAAATGTTAACAAGATGAATTATTTCATTTAAACTTTATCTATACTTAAAGCACTTCTGTTCAATAATATTGATCTCTTCCACTAAACAACAATAATAACAATAATGACAAATAAAGTTCAACCTAAGTTCTCATATATTTTTTTTTTTTCTTTTTTTCCTCTTCCTACAGTTTACCTTATGTGATCCAGCACAAAAGAATACACTCCTTTTGTAGTGGGGAGGGGGGGAGGACAATGATAGTGAAGATCAATGAATTCATATAGACTTTTCACCACTCTTTAGTAGCTTTAAAATCTATACTGAAAGTACTTTGCTTCAGTTGGTCATTTCCAGAAAAAGAAAATTGAAATTAAAGATAAAAATAAAAAAATACTAATAAAAATAAAGAAAATCCAACCTCAGTTTTGTAATTATTTATTTTCAGGATGGGCATCCACCATTGGGTTGGTCTGACACTGCAGCATACCTTGTATTACCTGTTCTCCTTGTCATTTCTCAGTATGTATCGATGGAACTCATGAAGCCTCCCCAGGTGAAAGTATATATGAAGTTTATCTTATGTTTAATTGATCAATTTCAACTTTCTCTTTAAGCATTCTGAATATGGTTTCCTTTATTCAGACTGATGATCCAGCACAAAAGAACACGCTCCTTATTTTCAAGTTTCTTCCCCTCATGATTGGTTACTTCTCTTTATCTGTTCCATCGGGATTATCAATTTACTGGTTGGTTTCTTATGACCCTTGTCTTTTAATTGTTTCCATACATCTCCGTCTGTTGTGTTCTTATTGACATGTATTAGCTGAGACATCACAAGTGCCTATGTTTTCTTTTTTACTTATATTACATATATTATTCTTAGACAAAATGGTTCACATTAACTAATAAATCATGTCATATGTTCATAGGTTCATAAACAATGTCCTCAGCACAGCTCAGCAAGTATGGTTACGCAAATTAGGAGGTGCGAAGCCTGTTGTAAGTGAAGATGGTGCTGGAATTATAACAGCAGGACGTGCAAAACGAATGTCTGAATCAGGACCTACGGGTGATAGGTAATTTTTACCCGAAAGAGGCTTATAGACATGCTTTTTAACTTCCTTTAATGACCAAAAATGTTAAAAACAGGTTTAGACAGTTAAGGGAAGAAGAGAAAAAGAATAAGTTAAGCAAGGCTGCTCAATCAGAAGAGATTCGAACTCTGACTTCTGAGTCCGATAATGAGGATGGGTATGACGGGGAGACAACAGAGAAGGTAGAACTCGATGTTGAATGTTTTTTTAGTTGAAACTATAATTCCAAATGGAATTACTTTACTATCACTGCAGAACAATTAGCTCTCTTTTGTTTGGTATAATGTCACTTCTGAAATGTTCTGGGTAGAGATAGTTGATTTTCTGAAAATTAAATACTGTTGCAGTACAGGAACTAGTGTTTTTTAGAGCAGCAGGTGCATTACAGCATGATAGCTATCTGAGGCACTAGGCTTGTTTGATAACGACTTTTTTTTGAAGATTATGCCTACTTCCTCTCAATTTCTTTGGTTTTTTTTTTGGTTTATTTTTCACCTTTCTTACCAACGAACTTGAATTCTTAGCCAAATTTTGAAAATTAAAGCAAGTTTTTAAAAACTACTTTTTTTTTTTTTTAGCTTTTACAATTTGGATTTTAGACATTGAACCCATTTTCGAAAAGTAGATAAGAAAGAGAAGGAACTGGTGGAAATAGTGTATAAAGCTATAATTTCAAAAATAGAAAACCAAAACCAAAATGGTTATCAAACGAGATCTAAACAAACTTTTTATAAATATAGTATTATTCATAATACTATCTAAAAGAATATAGTATTATTATAATGAAAAAAATAAGAAATCTTTTTAAGAAATTTTTTAGAGATGAAAGTTTGGAACAGATTCTTCTAATGTCTTTATAACCGCACAGCTCAGTGAGAGCGAGGGTGAGAAGCAAGGGGTCTTACATGGGCTATTTTGGTGTGTTTTTCAAAACACTGACAGGAACAACTTCTATTTTGTCAGGGTATGGACTAAGTGATTATGTGAAATTTTTGACTAACGTTGTTTTAGAGTCTATCAAATGATGTTCATAGTGGGGTTCCAGTGCACCAAGTTAACTGATTTGGTTCAGTTATGGTGATAATCCCTATGGTAGGACCCAAATCACTATAGTGTATGAGCGTAAGCTTAGGAGTTTGTGAGAGGTGGTATTACGTAATAGGAGTGGGGCCCACAGGTAATTTTGTTACTGGGCCCACGGGGGAAGGTTTAATTGTTTGAGGACAGTTTGTTTCGGCTTTCTCTGCTGAGAACTGGGAGAGAAGGGGAACTCTCTAATCTCCCTGGGCAAGTATATCACCCGATCACTAATTTATTTTGCTATAAATTGTCAAATACTTAAAGCTGAGTATGTGTTAGCTGTTAATAAAGATTACCTACTCAACTGCATTGTTGAATTCCTAGGCGCCTGCTGATACTCCTAAAGGAGAGTATCTTTTTTGGTAGGAAACTGTGATACACTTTCATTTAAAAGGAAGAAAGCTTACAAAAGAAAGGTGACAAGTGTCAGCCCACCCAAAACCAATTGGGCTTACAAAAAAATATTCCAATGGGTGTCAATTAAAAAAGAATATATTAAAGAAGGTTCTAAACTATTCTATGATGGTTATGAAAAATTCTGTTGTTTCTTTCCATTTAAATTTTTCCAAGAAGGTCTCCTCGATAAGGAATTCCATTCCAAGTATAATTTCAAAATCATCCATGTGGACCACTACTAAATCAAAAGTCCCCATCCACATCCCTAATTTCAAAGCCCATCGCTTGGAAACTTGTACAATGTGTAAAGCTTTGGAGTTGACGGTCTTCATCTTGCCGGTGTCTTTCTCAATAATCAATTCCAAATGGTGGGCTTCCTGCTCGGATATGAAGTTATGGGTTGCACCAGAGTCAACCATAGTGCTCTTAGCAGGTTTAGCATTGATCACCCCATCCACGAACATAAGCCCTTTCTCAGATGTTCCTTTAGGTTCAACTGGGCTCTATCCTAGCTATGATAGTACGTGGACCTTATATACTTCTATGTTTTCCCATGGCCTGCATCTTCCTCTCCATCCTTGTGCGCAACAATTTTTGAGTGACGTTGGTCTAGCTCCCGCCCAACTGGTCCCTAATGGGTGGGATATGCTGTTTGCGTGTTTCATGGCCTGACAGTATAGTGGTGGTGGAGGTCTGACTGTCGAGACTTTTGCAATTCTACACACATTTGATTTAAAGGTTGTTCCTCCCAAGAGAAATCTGTATTTTTATCTGGCAAACAAGAAGGAGAAGAAGCCTCTAGAAGTATCGGAGAGTACCGAGAGTAATTGTGTGGCTTTTGGGAAACGAAAGGCTCCAAGTAAGGCTTCCTGTCGCCGCGACAGACAGAAAGTCACCATTTCTTGTTCTAATAAAAAATGGAAACATGAATGGTTTTTTATTAGCGGGGATTGGTTTTGCACTAGGGGAGACCTTAATAATATTCCGGCCGAGTTCAGGCCTCCGGATAGGTATTTAATTTTTACTGTCCCGTTTTCTTTAGCTCGGCCGACGTCTTAATATTATTGTTAACTTGTTTCTCACTTTCTTGTGGTCGTCTGGTTTCAGTTGGTATTCATGGCGAATGTTCCTACGTCGTGACATGCTTAGAGAGAGGTTTGACCGTTGTGGGAAAAAAGGAAAACTTACTTACTGAGGGTAACTTACGTCGATACGGTCTATCCTAGCTATTAGGCACACCCACAGCCCATGGACAAGTGGAGGTAGTGAATAAAATCATCAAACATTACCTAAACACCCGTATAGAGTCTTTAAAAGGAGGTTGGGCCGAAGAATTACCTAGCGGACTATGGTCCTATCGAACCACTGCCAAAACAACTACGAGAGAAACTCCTTTCTCTTTAGCCTTCGGCACAGAAGCAGTCATCCGTGTGGAGATAGGCCTTCCCTCCTTAAGGATAAGGGAGTATGACCTTGTCACCAACGATGAAAGACTCAGAGTTCATTTAGATCTTTTGGATGAACTCCGAGAGGCTCTCATCAGCGTCCAAAAACAACGCATTTCACGATACTACAACACCAATGTCCGATCGCGAATGTTCCAATAAGGTGATCTGGTGCTACGTAAAGTGGCACAAGGAACCAAAGACATTACCGACGGAGTACTCAGCCATGCATGGGAAGGCCCTTATCGCATTACTCGAGTTGCGCGACTCGGTACATACTACTTAGAAAATCTTGAAGGAAAACAGCTAAAGCATCTATGGAATGTAGAACATCTCAAGAAATATTATCCATAACACGAAATGTACGATCATAAGCAAATAAAAAAGTATGCAGTTAGACCGACAAAAGTCTCGAGAAACATGTCTCTATAAAAAAAATGCATACAAATAAAAGGAACAAGAAAAAGCCTATTGAACTACTCCTACGCTCCAGCCTTCCCTAGAACCTCATTCTGAGTCTCGCTCTGAATACCTATAGACTGATCCAAATGAGCAACAAGCTGACTAAAAACAAGCAGTTGTTAATAAAATAAAAAGAAAAAAAGAAAGGAGGAAGAAAAAGGAGAGCGAACTCATTCTGCTCATCTCGTATAGATCCTAACAGAAATCTCGTTCTGGGTCACCTGCAGTAAATACGCCAGGGAGGATCATGCTCTGCATCCCCTCCTGAGTACGTTACCCGACCTTGTCAATATCCTCTAGCAACACAGGGGCTTGGTAAGGCCCCAAAAACCAAAGACAAGGCTTTGTAGGGAAGACGAGGATCTCTCGGGATGAGGAGACTCGAGAATCAGAGGAAGAGGTGGTCCAGGCACCACAGGTGCAGAACCTGGGAGCGAAGGCTGAGCAGAAAAAGGAGGGGGATGAATGGTGGTAGTGGGAGCGACCCTAGCAGGTCGGGGCAGATCAGACGTCTCTGCCCTCGACGTCGTTGGGCTGGTGGGATCGAACTTGAAGCCCCCTCTCCAAAACAAGCCTCTTGTTAGAACGGAGGCGCTAAAAAAGATTCATCTCAGCCTGATCTTCAAAGGACTCGGAAGAATCTAACAACAGGAAAAGGGGTTGTAAGAGCTTGAGCCGTAAAACAAGAAGCAGGTAAAAGTCACAACAAGAACTTACCTGAAGTGGAATCATCGGAGTCGTTGAGAAGGGGGGGCTCACCAGTAAGTTCGCTCTGTAGCCCTGAAAGTGGACAGATTAGATCTGATAGACCGTATCTATGTAAGTTACCCTTGGAAGTAAGTTTTCCTTCTTTCTCATGTCAGTCAAACCTCTCTCTAAATGTGCCGTGACGTAGGAACGTTCACCATAAATACTAACTGAAGCCAAACAACTACAAGAAAGAGAGAAGCAAGTTAACAATAATTTTAAGATGTCGACCGAGCTAATGAAAACAGGATAGTAAAAATTAAATACCTACCTGGAGCCCTGAACTTAGCCGGAATATTAAAAAGGCCTCTCCTAGTGGAAAGCCAATCCCAGTTAATAAAAAACCATTCATGTTTCCATTTTTTATTAGAACTAGAAATGGTGACTTTCTACCTGTCGTGGCGACGAGAAGCCTTACTTGGAGCCTTCCGCTTCCCAGAAGCCACACAACTACTCTCGATATCGTTTGGTACTTCTGGAGGCTTCTTCTTCTTCTTTTTCGCTAGATAAAAGTATAGATTTCTCCTTGGAGGAACGACCTTTAAATTAAATGTGTGTAGAATTGCAGAAGTCTCAATTGTCAGACGCCACCGCCACCATACTGCCAGGCTATGAAACACGCAACCAGCATATCCCACCCATTAGGGACCAGTTGGGCGGGAGCCAGACCAATGTCACTCAAAAATTGTTGTTGTGCACAAGGATGGAGAGGAAGATGCAGGCCATGGGAAAACATAGCAGTATATAAGGTCGTTTCTTCCGGTGGCAGGTTAGTAATCCGCTCATCTCCTGGTACTCGCATAGCAATACTCTTCAGAATCTCATAAGTAAATCGATAAAAATCTAGGATCTTTTGATTGACCGTAGAACGAATGTCAGCAGGTCCAGCAGATAAGGATCATCCCGGTACCGACATCAAGGGGTTCTATGTCTCAAAAACAACAACAGTGGCATCTATTTCTGAACTATTCACGTCGATCCCATCTAGTCTCACATCAACAATGTCCACCCGCTCTAATACTGCGGTGATACGAGCACAACTCAAAAACACACTATCGGGCTCTTCAAGTGTCCTACTCGAAAATTCATTGCCCGTTAACCCAGTCGCTACTCTTTCTGCCACAGCATCAGCAAAAGAACATTCCCTAGCGTCGCCCCCCACCTCCGAGGTCCCTATGTCTAGAAAAGGTAAATGAGATGGAAACATTGTCTGGGTCAAAATATTCTAAAGACTCAAATGTGAATTCTGCATAATAGGGCTCTGAAGGGCCAACGGCTACATAGTCTCCTAAGCCAGAATCACTCATATTGTAAAAGAAAATAGTTCAGGGATCAAAGAGTTATCTTGAAGTACTTCACCAAAATTGCCTCGAAAAAGGACTAGAACAGAACCTAAAAGATGTCCAATTGAATGACCTCAGAAACGCCGAACTGGATGTACTCCATCTTGGGTGTTCTCCATCTTCCTCCTTCTCGCACTCAACTTCAGTTTCTTGCTCATTACATGATTGAATAGATGCTTGAAGGGCGGTAAGGGCAGTTTGATGAGAACACTCGGTTACCTGGTGAGAGGTTTTACATAAGAAACAGGATATCAGTCTCTAAGCATTGGGGTTATGTTGGTACGGTCCTCGAGGTAAGACCGACATTTGGGCCCTGTGGCCTCTTCTTCACTCCCCCACTCTTTGGGGCATTACGTTTGAACGTCTTATTCTCCACCATGGGAGTCGGAGCATTCTTCTGTGGTTGAAATGGCTCACCGCTATAATTTAGCAGTCATTCCGCAGTGGCTAAGGTAGGTGCAAGGGTCTTAAACCTTCTTCTTGATTAATTTGTCCTAGCCGATTGTTTCAGTCCTTCAACAAAAATGAATACCTTGTACTTATCTGACATGTCACATATATCAAGCATCACAGGAGAGAATTGTTTCATATAATCCTGAATGGTTCCAGTATGTCTAAGTTCACGCAATTTCCTTCTAGGAATGTATTCGACATTTTCAAGGAATAACTGAGCCCTCAGTTCCTTCTTAAGATTGTCCCATGTGTTGATTGTACCTAGCCCATTATGGGCATCATTGACCTTAGATTTCCACCACAGCTTTGCATTGTTGATAAGATGTATGGTGGCTAAAGGTCACTTTTGTTTCTTTTGAGGTCGTCCCAACAGTTTGGAAGTATTGCTCAACATCGAAGATGAAGTTCTCGAGATCTTTCGTATCTCGATTGCCATTCAAGGGTTTGGGCTCTGGAACCTTGAACTTGTTGAACCCCATGGCCCATGCATATTTGAATTTGCCTGGTTGGGTTTGTGGAGACTAGGACGTGTAACTTTACTTTCTAGGGCGTCAACCCTCGCATCTAGTTCTTGTTTAGGTAGCCCATCTACTCGAGTGTTCACAACATCTATTTCTCCAACCTTGTCGGAGAACTCATCAACTCGCGTCTACAGTAGACAAAGAGTATCAGAGACTTCCCTCAGATATATCAGCTATTCTTCAATCGGAACTAGTCAATCGACATGCGACTTGCTCAATTACTTTGTTGTCAACATGGTTCTGGTCTTTTATTAGGTTGAGGAGCTAACTGAGCGTTGATACTACTTGCATTTAGTGGCTTCAGTGCTAGGCTTTGGGGAGCGGGTGGTCTATTTCCTTAGGTTGAGAGTCTCGGGAAGCGGGTGAGTTGCTCCATCTCCTCTCTGATGTTCATTTCTCTCGGGATAGGAATGATATCCGTGTTTGGGCCCCTACTCTTTCTAGGGGTTTCTCTTGCAGTTCCTTCTTTAAAATCTTGTGCTCCTTTGATCCTTCCCCGGCTGCCCCTGTGTTTGCCTCGCTTGGGAGAATCAATACCCTGGATCGTATCCAGAAACATTCTTCTTCCTGTTTGGGTACACAATAGTGTGTTCTTTGCAAACAAGACTCTATAGGAGTCTTGATCACATGTTATGCCATTACAATTTTGCCCAAAAGATTTGGAGTCGGTTCTTTGAGATTTTTGAAGTTTCTTGAGACCGACATAGAGATTGGGGGCTATGGTGGAGGAAGTGCTATCGGCTTCTCCTTTTCGTGAGAAAGGGAGGTTTTTGTGGCAAGCTTGTTTCTTCACAATCTTGTGGGGAATTTGGTTGGAAAGGAACAATAGATTTTTTTGGGGGGTTGGAGAAAGATAGGCAGTCTAGGAGCTTGTGAAATTTAATGTTTCTTTATGGGGCTCTATCTCGAAATTGTTTTGTATTTATCAGTTAGGTACATTCTTTTGGATTGGAAGCCCTTCTTTAGCTAGGGCTTCCCCTTGCCGGGCTCTTGTTTTTGTGTGCCCATTTTTTTGTTTTCTTTTTCATTTTTCTTAATGAAAAGTGCAGTTTCCTATTAAAAAAAAAAAAAAAAGCTTTGATACCACTTGTCACAATCGCACTTCTTCGAACAGACCAGGCGATTATGCCACAATTGCTTTAGCGCAAACAAGCAAGTGAGTTGAGAAAAATTGTAAGTTGTGGACAATCTTAGACAATCTTAGCCAATGGTTTAGCCTCCGCTCATATTTTGAGAGAATGGGTTTATAAAACGTGAGAGAGAAAACAATTGAAAACATCTCTAAAACAAGCATTATAGACATCGAGTACAAGAAAACTTGATTGAAAGAAAGTATACAATGCTGGGTCGGGGGAGGTTTGATGACTACTTCGGTCTAGACTCCCGGTTCATTGTAGCTCACAAAGGTGGAGAGGAGCGCTCAATTTTATACTTATTCATCATCAATCATTCTAGGTTATCTCCCAGGTTTCTTGTAAAAAAAGAAAAAAGAGAGAAGAAAAATCTAGATTACAAATGCAAGAAAAGTTGGCTCGTGGTTAGCCATGAAAATCTAAAAATACTTAAGTAAAGCTACAACAATATTAACCTAATAAAGCTTACTTGAAACTACCTAAAACAACTTAAAATAAAGTTTTTAAGGGTTACGGAGAGGAGTGGGCTTAAAAGCCCTTACAAAATGAAACTCAATAAAGTCCAAGTCAACCATAATTAAAAAGTCAACCAAAAAGAGTCAACAAAAAAAAAATTCCATAAACAATTACAAGAGTAAAATAAGATGTTAGTTTGGTTCTCTTGGTAAATTGGCTCGACAGATTACAGTATATGAAACTATATGAATTTTAGCTTCTTACCCGGCTTCTCTTTTTCATCTATTTACTTATTTTTATTTAGTTCTGGATTAGAGGAAGATTATTGGTCACTCCATAGTATGACTTAATTATTAACTTTTTGGTGAACTGATGGCTGACTGGCATATACATCTTCATTCGGATTGATTTGACTTTTATCAAAAACTAATTTGAAGTGTTTAACAGGGTGAGAACAGTCTGGAAGAGGCATATGCATCAAGTGCAGATAAAGACATCCCAGCCTATAATCGACAAAAGAGAAGCAAGCGATCAAAGAGGAAGCGCGCAGTCTGAACGATTATATACTGGATATATTTGTAGGTAATTTTGAGTCGTGTATATCTTGACGAATTGCAACATAGTTAAAACACTTGGCTAATTCATTTTTCAATATAGTGCAAATAAATTCAATTAGTCTTCCTTTTAATATAATTCTGCAACATTTTGACAATATTCAGAAGCAACAATGAGAAATTACGGCATTTAACCCAGAAAAAAGGTTAAATGAAAGCAGTAGGAATGTGGCTTATCCCACTCTGTAATGCCTATTCTTGGAAGATCTAGTTTTAAGTCATTCCTATTTCCTCATGAACACATATTTTTCATGGATGTGAATTAGTGATTGATTTTCATTGCATTTAGGGAGGCTTCAACTAGTCATTTTGGATTTATTTTGGTAGCCTGCCTGCTCATGTTTCTGAATTGTTGTGTGGTTTGAGACTTCTTAATGAGCATGGTGTTTCCGAGGTTAACTACGCAACCAGTATCGTAACCCGGCACTTCTCTAAGGTGAAATATGGTGTGTGAAAGGAGAAAGGGTATGTTTTTTCAGTCATTCTTTAAGCATAAACATGTTCATATTGTACAGAGATGCAGATGGAAAAGAGTCTTCACTTGTTCATATTCTACAGAGATGCAGAGTTTCATCTTTTGAACAGCCAAAACGCAGCGTTTTGGTCATTACCTTGATGGAGGCCAATGATTTGCCTACTGGATTTGTCTCCGATGGCTTTCATGTATGAATTATGTGCATGTTGCCGAGGGTGTATTTGGAAGGGACAGTAGAATGTGTGATTTTGAAAAAAAGAGATTCTAAGTATAATTGATTTTTGGTTTATAAACTCTTTTTTCGTGTCTTTTCTTATTTTTTCAATTTTTTTYAGTATTGTGTTTGTTCTAGCAGTCAGATCTTTCATTTTTTTTCTCTCAATCCATAGATAGAATTTGAATGGATGAGCCGTGGATCGTTCAATTACTTATTATCGAATTTTTTTCTTTTTTAGCTTCATTCATATATTTCTTTCAATTCAAATACTAGAATTGGGTTTCTTTTGTGAAAGTTCTTTTATTGTTTGTTTTATAAATAAAATGTTTTTGATGACCCATTTTTTGTTTCTTTTGAGATATTTAGAAACAAGTTTGTTAGTTCTTTTAAAACTCTTAGAATTATAAAAAGATTCTTTTTAATTTTTTTATTTTTTTTTCAAATTCTTTTATTAATTTTATTAAAATGGGTTCAAAAAACGGAAGTTGTTTTCGGGGAGAACCAAAAGGTAGTTCAGCTTCCATTCTCTAAAATGTTAAAAAACAAAAATCATTTTTCAAAATCACCATCTAATGCCAATTGAAAAATCAATTTAAAATGATTTTAAATTTTTTCATGATTTCGACAATGCGAGGTGAAATTAACTCCTAAATACACTTGAAATCAATGGGGGAGGAAGAGAAATAATTTTTTTAATAATTCATATGATGAGTAATATGATTATCTAATTTTTTTTTGAATATACCATTTTTCAAACGAATATTTATAAGTATTACATTTAAAAAAACTTATTAATCATTTATAAACTTTAATAATTGTAGTCCATATGTTAAATTAATTTAGATGTTGATTAATTGTAATCATTAGACTATAACATAGTAATTATTGTTTTCCATGTGTTCTAATATTTGCTCTCATTTTAAATATTCGGGCCTAATAGATTATTTAACTTAAAAAAAAATTTAATTTTGGAATAATGGCTTAGAAAGCCGTCGTCACTCAAATCTTAACTTGAGTCAAATATTTATAAATTGACTAATTTTAAAGAATACTTTTAAATAACTTTATTAATATCAATAATTTTGAAGCTTTCCATCAACACCTTTTACACTAGGTAGAAATTTGAGCGTTAGTGACAGTTAAAAATTGTCATTAACATAATATATGACAGTTATCTAATTGTCATCTATTAAGGCATCAAGAGAGAGAACATGACAATTTTGAAAAATTGTCAGTAATATATTTACAACTACAATGGTACTTTGTCACGAATAGATCTTCCATCACAATTAATAAATGTCATAGAAACTCATTCAATTACGTTTTATAAGTGTCACTAAAACAATGAAAGATTTTATTCTCCTGTCAATAAAAACTTAATGACGGCGGTGTATAAATGTCACGAAATAATTTTTAACACAGTTTATAATTGTCGTGAAATGTTTTTTAACGACAGTTCAAAATTGACATGAAATATTTTTTAACGACTGCTGATAAACGTCAAGAAAAACGTAAATCTATACCCGATGCGACCGGACAATCCTGAAATAATTAATATTGTCCATAAAGCTGCAGTTTTTTCGACGAAAATTTAATGCGCTCAAAATCATTTATGACACTTTTTGTATGTCATATATTCTCAAGATGGTCTAGGTAACTGTCATGGAATACGTGAATTTTTTTTTATTTTTCTTGACAATTATAAAATGTCATAAAGCATGAAAATTTTCGTAAATTGCCGTTTTTTCTCTCCAAAAAATCGTGCTTCCACCATTTCATGACAGTTTTTCACTGTGATTGACAATTTGGTTTTAGTGACAGTTTTTAACTGTCATAAAACTTACAAATAGCGTTTTTTTCCCGCAAAAAACGCACCCCATCATTTATGACAGTTTTTTTTCCTCCAAACTTTTTTACAGTTCACAACTGTCATGGAAGATCACTTTTCTACTAGTGTTAGTTGAAAAATGTCAATCCCTCACATGAAACCTATGCACTTTTCGTAAGCATAGTTAAAAATTACTAAGGAAGAAAGTCTTTTTTCGTAGAAATAAAGTCTCTTCTCTTTCTGTATCGTTCTCTTTGAAAACGCATTTCTCTATCTCACCTATTTCTTTAGAGAAAATGTCGCCTTTCTCGCTTTATCACGGGCGATAAAAAGTTATCCTTTAGAGTGAATATAAAAAATCTAAGTTTGGAAGGAAAAAAATAAGATAAAATTTGTGAAAAGACACATGATTGGATTTAAAAATTTATTCTACATTTTTATTAGAACAAAAAGTTATACAATATAATATAATATCAACAAAAAAAAAAAAAAAGATACCGAATGTGTCGTTTTCCTTTGTTGTATTTCAATTTTAAGTCCAAACAACCATTTGCTTCCTTCAAATCATACGTCAAAAAGAAAGCTCAACCAAAAGATTTTGGTACCCATTTCTTTGGTCCTTCATAAATTTTGGAACTCATTTCAAATTTATTTCAACATTTTTAGTATTCAACCACAAGAATGACATACAACATTAGGTAAGAATTTCTCTCTAACAATATTTGACACAATACTTTTGTCATAGAAATTCTTCATTCAATTTGGTCTAATATGACATTTAACTCCACAATAATGACATGTAGGCACAAATTTAGCATTATGCATACAATGTGATTTGGATGTCTTATGAACATGCTTAGATACAAATTTAGCATTATACAAATAATTTATGCTAGTACGAGCATATTTAGGAACAAAGTTCAAATTTGCATGATATTTTTATCATTTCCTCGTACTTATTCACAAATTTCACATTATGGTCTAATTTTGATCTAGCATGAAATTGTCTAGGCACAAACTTTGAATTTCCATGCACATTTCTAGATTTTTCATGCTTTAGCACCTATTTAGATTCAACCAGGTTAGATATATTGGGTAAAACATCTTTAGGTATAGAAGGGGTAGCTTTAACAAAAGTAGTCTTATGGCTAGAAGAAGTAGAATTTTTATCCACATATCTTAATCCCTTTTTATCATTAAAAGGTTTATTCATGTCTATAATCTTATCTAACCTTCGTGCACCTATAGCCAATTTCTTTTTCTTTAAACACATGCAAAAGATCATTTTTCTCATGAACATTAAACTCAAGAAATTTAATTTTGTCAATGAAAGAAATATTCTATTTTTCCAAAGATGTATTGCTAATTTCTAAAATAATAATTCTACTTTTCAAACTAGTAATTTTATCTTTTAACTCCAAAGAAAGAGATTCAATTTTCTCATTTTTTATTTCTAGAATCATTTAATACAATTTTTAATTCGAATGATAAAATTTCAACATTTTCTTTATCAAGAAATTTAATTCTCTCACTATTCAAAGCATATTTTTCATCACAACAATTATCATGCAACACATTATTAGTAGCTCTATTTTTCAAATAAGCATTTTCATCTATCAAAGATCTATTCTGTATGGACATGACTTATAGTTCATTGATAGTTTAACATATTTAGAGCTAATTTTTTCAAAATCACATTGCATGCTTTCAAATGCATTATATAATTCATCATATGAAGGAGATTTGTGATTTACATCATCCTCATCGTTTTCGAGATCGAACCCATCATTCGAATGAGCCATCAAGCACAAGGAGAATCCATTAAATTTTTCTTTTTCCACCTCATGACACTTTTCTTGATTTTGAGAATTATAATTATCTTTCAAATCCAATAAATCATTAGAAGTACAAGGAGAATTTTCAACACTAAACATATTATCAAAAAATTCCAAATATCATATATTTATGTAAAATGTGAAATATTTTTCTATCTAAAGCACAACATATGATATTTATAACTTTGCCTAAAAAAAATGATATTTATAACTTGAGTATTAAAAGAAAGAATTTCATCACTCAATTTTAATTTTGATAAATCATTCTCACAAACATACGATATATCAAAATCAGTAGATAACAAGAATGTTTTCATACGATGTCTCCAAATATCATATTTTCTACCATCAAAGAATGAAGGTTTATCAATGCAATAACTTTCAAGAAAATCTAAAGTTGTCATAGCTCTAGCAATTAAGCTTTTCAAAAATAAATTTTCAAAAATTAACAAGACAAATAGTATTGAGATAAAGTTTGATCCAGGGGGTGAATAGAGTTTAATGAAACTTATAAATCTTTTAATAGAATGGGCCTAATTTAAAAAATAAGGAAACTTTATACAAACAAATAATTTTAACATAGTCGTCCACGGCTAACCCGACTTGCCTTAGCCTTTGTCTCCATTCGAACCCCCCATGTCGCAGAGAGCCAGGATTGTACTCCTCCACACCATCCATTCCCATTGGAGGAAGAGGATAGAAGGAAACGGTGTTGCTTGTGGACGGCTCCGCAACGCCCTTTGTTGGGACTTTCTCTACCTTCAAAAAGATCAGAGAGTCGTGCAAATGCACACGGTCACAAGTAATACTCGGAAGTAATTCAAGGTCGAATCTTCAAGGACTTGTTGCTTTTCAAACTCAAGTAATGTCATGAAATGGTTCGAATTTGCAATTGTGATTTAGGAAGAAAAATGTGATGAAATGTTGTTGGTGGAGGTTTTAACTATCAAGTAATTTAATAAAACTCAACCTCTTTGTTTTCTACCTTAGTTTTGATGTAAAACATGGAAAATACACAATCCTAGCTTTTCTTGGGAAACTGAGTTCTACTCTTTCACTACCGCTTTGGTTGTTGTAGAGGCTAGGGAAACCTACAATCATATGTCCATGTGTGATTACAATCCTAGAGAATAATTATCAACTCACATGCATTATAGGTCAGAGGGCCTATGTCTAGAACCATATTTTATGCGCTTATGTCTAAGTCACATCCCATATTGGTTTCCTAATATTTTACCTAACGAAAGTTGGGCTTTAGTGTATAAATCAAGTTCCCATTGGTCAAATGGAAAAAAGACGTAAAGAGAAGTTTTTAGAAACCAACCCAAAAAAGTGCCAGACGCAATTCTTGACAAATCCCGAGCGTGTTGAAAATCAAATCATTTTGACTAAGGCATTCCACAAAGAGGTTGATAACTAATTTAGAACA